TTCCCAATATAAGGTCCCCTTCTGAATATAACTTTAACGCTCATAACAAGCTTGCAGTTGCCTATAAAGCAATGAAATTTGAGTTAAACAAGACTTATAGGTACTTAAATCTCAAATTTCATAAGAATCAGTCCATATTAAATGCAAGCCTCCATATAAAATCCGTTTCAGGGTTCATAATAGTCTTAAGAAATCATGTAAGGAGATTAAAATCATCTTCATCAATTTTATGTGGATTGGTTCATAATGGCATTGAATATTTAGTTTATATATTACGTAAATGTTATACAAATATAATAATACATTTACGTTTAAGGGTTAATTTCCTTCATTATATATTCTAAGTGTCATTTAAATCGGTTGAGAACAAGATAATATTTCAAGAAAATTTCGCAATATTGCATAGCATAAGTTTGACCTTCACAGTTTATGGGTTAACATTATTCGATTTTACTAAAACTTCAGATATACATATGTTTCTAATTACCAGGAATATTATATTATAAAAAGATTTTATATGAAAAGGTATTAAATATTACCAAAAAATTGTTTTCTCCGAAATACTCCAAATTAAAATCGCAGGTGTCGCTAATCTGTGAAAGATATCGATCTAATTTCTTTACTATTTAATCCCTTCTTTATTGTCCATAAGTCATATGGAGATTTTAGCAAAATTAAAAAAAATGTTAACAAAATTGTTAAAAGTTTGAAACTAAAGTTTTAAAACGGCCGACTGAAGGGTTTTCCATTTATGACTATACCCCATTACACTATCTAATGAAGATAAAAACTCACATTTAATACGATTATATTTAATGTAATGACATAGGTTTGGTTAGGTTAGGTTTGACAGAAAGAGAGATGGTGAATGGGAAAAGGGATAGAAGGAAAATGTGAAGAGAACCCTAGAAGTAATGATATAGAGACTTAAGGTTAAAAACATACGTCCAGCTTAGTGTGAAATTGTAGTTCACAACCATTTTGACAAGTTCAGGAATGCAGAAAGCCGTTCTAACTAAACATTCAACAGATCTGATAATCATAAAAATAAGTTGACCTTAAGGTTCAAAAAAGGGCCATTTCCAAACAGTAACAGAGAAGTTGGGCTACCGTCTCCTCTTCATCCTCATTTTGACAACTTCTTGTAGTGACATAGTTTTATTAGAATACATATTTCCCAAAATTTTTTTAATATTGCTCATTTATGTGTTTTTTAATACTAAATGATCTAAGGAATTTGTAAGAACTTTTACAATTTTTGGCTGATTTTTGTATTTACATCTTATTGGAACGATTGTGGTTTTTCAGAACATAATTTTCAGTCCTTTTGAGTTTTTCAATGTTAAAAAATCATTTATATTATTTTAGTTAAAGTATAAAAAACATTTGTATATTTCATAAATAATTTAGACACTTACCTTTATTATAAACGATGTTTTATACAAGTTTCCTTTATATTATTAGCAGGTATGTATCCATAAAATGTCAAAATGAAAGTCATAACTAATGCATTTAAATTGAATAATTTTTTTATTATATTTTTTAATGATGATTCCTAAAACATTTTGAGCCGTTCGGTACCCGGACCGATTACAGAAATAACATTTTGTTAATTTTCATAAACTAAATACATAACTATATTTTTGAATCAAACATGTAAACTAAAATAATGATTCCTTTCTTAATTATTATTTATTTTAAATTTTTTATGATTTTTCGTAATTATTTCTTAAAATAAATTTTTAGATTAAAAAAAAAACATTTAGATACTTTTTAACATATTTCCCTTTCCGCCTTATTTAATTTTTACACACACACACTCACACAAAAACACAATACGTATTTATTTGCTTTTTACTTATTTCCTCTTGCCCCTTTATTTACTTTTACTTTTTTTCTCATTTCAATGAGAAAACAAAAACAAAAATATTGCACTAACAAGCTTTTCTCAAAACACAAATTCACTCTTTACTTTTTTCACTATTTAAGTATTTGGCAAAAGTCGGTCACAACCGTCAACGAGTCATACGCGCAACGCCAAGTTGTTGCTTTTGTTTATTAACTGCTGTCCACTTCACGAAGGAGATGATACAAAAAAAAAAAAAAAAAAACAAACGACACAACAAAAACAACACTCATCATTTCTAGAACAAATTAGACATTTTCAAGCAATTGCAATTTTCAATTGCAGATTTTTCATGCTAAACTAATAGAAAGCAATTACATTTTATATTTATTTCATAATATATTAATTAAATTATATTTTAACACTATTTTTATAACCGAAACACTATTATTTCCTTTTTAATTTAATTAAATAACGAGAGACAGCAGTTAATGCGACCTTAGACACGTACCGTTTTACTAAAACTAATTTTATTACAGTTTGAAAGCCATTGCTAAAAGGAAGTAGATGACAGTTTGAATTACATATGAATTAACATAATAGAAGGAAGTGACAGTTGGAAAGGGAGTTTTGATTGTTCTTTAATATTGCAAGTAAAATGTTGAAAATTAATAAAAAACAAGTAAGAAATTATAGTCGGGCGAGACCGACCATATAATACCCTACACCTTTGACAAAAATATAATGTGATTTAGTTGCCATAATAAAGCATTTAAGTTGAATAGTACCTTGCCTTAGATATACATACTTAAGCCGTTTATTGTTGAATAAAATTGTGGACATTTAAGTGAAATTTTGATGCGGGCTTTTCATAGGGGCTAGGGTCATATGAGAACCTATTATTATGGAATTCGTGGGGGTCATCAAGTCTTGTATACAACTTGGTTATTGCAGCTTTTTGTCGAGATATGAGTATATTAAACATAATTATGAACTTAAAATCCCTATTCGGCGGGTTCAGTTGTAAGGGGGCTAGGTGAAATAATGGACCGATGTGAACCATTTTCAACAGGCTTCATCTACGGTACCATAAAAGATCATGTGCCAAATTTCATTGAATTATCTGCAAAATTGCGACCTGTAGTTTGATTACAAGTTTTAAAAGCCCTATTCGGGGGTTCAGTTGTATGGGGGCTAGGTGAAATAATGAACCGATGTAAACCATTTTCAACAGGCTTCATCTACGGTACCATAAAAGATCATGTGCCAAATTTCATTGAATTATCTTCAAAATTGCGACCTGTAGTTTGATTACAAGTTTTAAAAGCCCTATTCGAGGGGTTCAGTTTTATGGGGGCTAGGTGAAATAATGGACCGATGTAAACCATTTTCAACAGGCTTCATCTACGGTACCATAAAAGATCATGTGCAAATTTCATTGAATTATCTCCGAAATTGCGACCTGTAGTTTGATTACAAGTTTTAAAAGCCCTATTCGGGGGTTCAGTTGTATTGGGGCTAGGTGAAATAATGTACCGATGTTAACCATTTTCAATAGGCTTCGTCTACGGTACCATAAAAGATCATGTGCTAAATTTCATTGAATTATCTCCGAAATTGCGACCTGTAGTTTGATTACAAGTTTTAAAAGCCCTATTCGAATGGTTCAGTTGTATGGGGGCTAGGTGAAATAATGGACCGATCTTAACCATTTTCAATAGGCTTCGTCCCTGGGATAATAGAAGATCATGTACCAAATTTCATAGAATTATCTTCAAAATTGCGTAGTTTGATTACAAGGTTTACATGGACGGACGGACGGACGGACAGACGGACGGACATAGCTAAATCGACTCAGAAAATGATTCTGAGCCGATTGGTATACTTTAAGGTGGGTGTCGGACCAATATTATTGTGCGTTACAAACATCAGCACAAACCCAATATACCCTCCCCACTAAAGTGGTGTAGGGTATAAAAAAAATTGCAACATTATAATCATGGCCGAAATATTGTTAACAAAATCAAGTATTCGACTGTTTTATATTTACAAGAAAGTCGATTTATCGACTGTGGATAATTTTGTGTGGAAAATTAAGCAGGGATGGGAAAAAAGGTTTAATTATACCCTACACCATTTTAGTGGGGAGGTTATATTGGGTTTGTGCTGATATTTGTAACGCACAATAATATTGGTCCTATACCCACCTTAAAGTATACCAATCAGAATAATTTTTTGAGTCGATTTAGCTATGTCCGTCTGTCCGTCCGTCCGTCCATGTAAACCTTGTAATCAAACTACCGGTCGCAATTTTGAATATAATTCAATGAAATTTGGTACATAATCTTCTATTATCCCAGGGACGAAGCCTATTGAAAATGGTTAAGATCGGTCCATTATTTCACCTAGCCCCCATACAACTGAACCCCCCAATAGGGCTTGTAATCCTTGTAATCAAACTACAGGTCGCAATTTTGGAGATAATTCAATGAAATTTGGCACCTGATATTTTATGGTATCGTACACGAAGTTTATTGAAAATGTTTAACATCGGTTCATTATTTCACCTAGCCCCCATACAACTGAACCCCCTTTTAAACCTAGTAATCAAACTACAGGTCGCAATTTTGGAGATAATTCAATTTGGCACATGATCTTTTATGGTGCCGTACATGAAGCCTGTTGAAAATGGTTTACATCGGTCCATTATTTCACCTAGCCCCCATACAACTGAACTGTTTAATATACTCATATCTCGACAAAAAGCTGCAAAAACCAAGTTGTATATAAGACTTGAGGACCCTCACGAATTCCATAATAATAGGTTCTCATGTGACCCTAGCCCCTATAAAAAGCCCCCATCAAAATTTCACTTAAATGTCCACAATTTTATTCAACAATAAACGGCTTAAGTATGTATATCTAAGGCAAGGTACAATTCAACTTAAATGCTTTATTATGGCAACTAAATCACATTATATTTTTGTCAAAGGTGTAGGGTATTATATGGTCAGCCTCGCCCGACTATAATTTCTTACTTGTTTTTTACTGCTATTTTTTTAATGCTAATGGGGTATTATTTGTAACTCTGAACCTAATCAACTAATAAAACTAAATAATTAAATATATTATCTCTCCCTCTTTACATTTTCAGTTCCCTTAAATTTCCTCCAACTCGTGACTCATCTTAGAATTTTTGATGTAACACAAACCAAAAGGATCTTGTAATACAAACATTATGCTGTAAGATTTCTTTTAAACAAAAATACATATATATTTTTTAACGTGAATCCAACATTAATTAAATTCATTACTTGTATATAAAAAAAATAATTCTCATTAGCACTTATTTCATTATAACAGAAACAAAAACTACTTTGTTTTTTGAATTTATTTTATTGAAACAAAACCAAAACCAAAACAATCAAAAATCTCAAGATAAATAACATCCACTAAATACGCAGGAGACAAATCTTATTGAAAAATCACCAAGAATCTTTATCAATGGCTGACAGTCGCGAAAGAATACGAGGGCCTTCACGTGATGGTCGTGAATTTCTTACAAGTCCTCGTCAAGTTTTGAGACGTTTAATGTTACTGTCCGAGGGTCGTCAATATCGTGAAGCTGCTGGTGTGGTTGGTCGTTTGGGTCCTTCTGTTTTGAGATCTGTTATTGCTGAACTGCCTATAGATTTGTTGTTGGAGCATTTGCCGCACAGTGCTTATTTATTGGAATCGTTTTTCTCAAGGTGAGATAAGAATTGAAATTATTAAAAACTGGGCAGCAGAAAATTCGCAAATAATAGAATGTATGTGATAGGTCCTTTTTAAGAATCTAGCGATTAGTTAGTTAGTTGGTTGGTTGTGGTCTGCGGTGGGTTAGTGGTCAGTGTTCAAGTGTGGTAGACCGGAGGTGGTGGGTTCGATTCCCACCTGAGGCACTGATTAAGGAGCGCACAACAGGCTCGACAGAGGCCTAGGTGTATTGCTTCGGATTTGTTAGTTAGTTAGTTAGTAGTTAGTTAGTAGTTAGTTAGTTAGTTAGTTAGTAGTTAGTTAGTTAGTTAGTTAGTTAGTTAGTTAGTTAGTTAGTTAGTTAGTTAGTTAGTTAGTTAGTTAGTTAGTTAGTTAGTTAGTTAGTTAGTTAGTTAGTTAGTTAGTTAGTTAGTTAGTTAGTTAGTTAGTTAGTAGTTAGTTAGTTAGTAGTTAGTTAGTTAGTTAGTTAGTTAGTTAGTTAGTTAGTAGTTAGTTAGTTAGTTAGTTAGTTAGTTAGTAGTTAGTTAGTTAGTTAGTTAGTTAGTTAGTTAGTAGTTAGTTAGTTAGTAGTTAGTTAGTTAGTTAGTTAGTTAGTAGTTAGTTAGTTAGTTAGTTAGTTAGTTAGTTAGTTAGTTAGTTAGTTAGTTAGTTAGTTAGTTAGTTAGTTAGTTAGTTAGTTAGTTAGTTAGTTAGTTAGTTAGTTAGTTAGTTAGTTAGTTAGTTAGTTAGTTAGTTAGTTAGTTAGTAGTTAGTTAGTTAGTTAGTTAGTTAGTTAGTTAGTTAGTTAGTTAGTTAGTTAGTTAGTTAGTTAGTTAGTTAGTTAGTTAGTTAGTTAGTTAGTTAGTTAGTAGTTAGTTAGTTAGTTAGTTAGTTAGTTAGTTAGTTAGTTAGTTAGTTAGTTAGTTAGTTAGTTAGTTAGTTAGTTAGTTAGTTAGTTAGTTAGTTAGTTAGTTAGTTAGTAGTTAGTTAGTTAGTTAGTTAGTTAGTTAGTAGTTAGTTAGTTAGTTAGTTAGTTAGTTAGTTAGTTAGTTAGTTAGTTAGTTAGTTAGTTAGTTAGTTAGTTAGTAGTTAGTTAGTTAGTTAGTTAGTTAGTTAGTTAGTTAGTTAGTTAGTTAGTTAGTTAGTTAGTTAGTTAGTTAGTTAGTTAGTTAGTTAGTTAGTTAGTTAGTTAGTTAGTTAGTTAGTTAGTTAGTTAGTTAGTTAGTAGTTAGTTAGTTAGTTAGTTAGTTAGTTAGTTAGTTAGTTAGTTAGTTAGTTAGTTAGTTAGTTAGTTAGTTAGTTAGTTAGTTAGTTAGTTAGTTAGTTAGTTAGTTAGTTAGTTAGTTAGTTAGTTAGTTAGTTAGTTAGTTAGTTAGTTAGTTAGTAGTTAGTTAGTTAGTTAGTTAGTTAGTTAGTTAGTTAGTTAGTTAGTTAGTTAGTTAGTTAGTAGTAGTTAGTTAGTTAGTTAGTTAGTTAGTTAGTTAGTTAGTTAGTTAGTTAGTTAGTTAGTTAGTTAGTAGTTAGTTAGTTAGTTAGTTAGTTAGTAGTTAGTTAGTTAGTAGTAGTTAGTTAGTTAGTTAGTTAGTTAGTTAGTTAGTTAGTTAGTTAGTTAGTTAGTTAGTAGTTAGTAGTTAGTTAGTTAGTAGTTAGTTAGTTAGTTAGTTAGTTTAGTTAGTTAGTTAGTTAGTAGTTAGTTAGTTAGTTAGTTAGTTAGTTAGTTAGTTAGTTAGTTAGTAGTTAGTTAGTTAGTTAGTAGTTAGTTAGTTAGTTAGTTAGTTAGTTAGTTAGTTAGTTAGTTAATAACTTCCGGTAATATACCTAACAAATGGTTGAGCATAATACTCTAACTTGTTACAGGAAATTTCTTAGCAGATCAAAAAAAAGCTTTTTTCCATTTACCTATATTTTAACTAACATATAATCTTCTAGATTAATTGCTGTTAATCCCTCCCCCAAACCCGATGTACCCACTGAAGCTGTACTCTGGCAATTGGTTAGATTATTCTCAAATCCCCACGATCCAGGGCTAAAGCAACGATGTTCAAAACTCCTACAATCTTTAGTACAATATGAACCGAATTTAAGACAGACTATACGTGAGACCCGCAAATCTTTCAATGATGCCGTACAAGGTTTAGGTGTTCATGGCTTAACAACAGATTCCTCTGGTCAATTGATATCTCTGCATATAGCTTTAAAAACAGAACTACAAAGACATGTAGACACATACAAATTGGCGCTACACAAATTGGAGGAGTTAAGTATGATCACCATAAATCAAGATCCTGCACATTCGTCACATCAACGTTTGTTAGGCATAAGTTATGGTGATATACAACAGAGACTTATCGATAATAAGACCCTATTGACAATACTCGATAAACCAGCCTTAAAACAATTAACTAGTCTCATAGAAAACCTGTCACAAAGAGTGGAAAATGATAAAGAGGTCTTAAAAGCGGTGGGCCAGGTGAAAAGGGTGGACATGCAAGCCAATGTGGACAAAAGGCCAGCTGCTGGTTTGCTTATGAACTTCTCACGTGGCTGTGAGATTATTTTACAAATGATGGGTGCCGAAGGTATAGAGGTCACTCCAACAAATGTCAAAAGTATGGGTTCACCGAATGGTAGCAGTTGTTCAGATGGTTATCATTCAGATGATTCAGCTAATGAGGAAATAAGGTAAGATGTGTCAAAAATATAAACGTATAACATAAACGCCTTCAATTTGAAAACAAAATTTCTTTTTGAATTCAAATTTTGCGTTACATTTGCTTAAACAACACCTAAACGCTTTCGCTTGTTAATCTTATTTTTTGTGATTTCAGTTAAAGTACACATTTCAATTGCTAAATAATACTTTATAATTTTTTTTCTTTTCTTTTTTGTTTTTCTCTTTTTTAGCGGCATGGTTTCACAGTATCGTTTATTGTATTTAGAAAATAGGACAGATACTTTGGAGGCATTGGACAGTATGCCGCAGCTGAAACACGTTCATAATTTAAAAGCGAAAATCTTATTCTCAATTATAGTGGTAAGTTGTTATTTTAGTTTTGGTCGATTTTTGTAAATTTTATTTGGCCGGGCTTGTCTCTTTAAGCTATTAAATATGTTAAAAATGTTAATTTAGTAGATCGCGATCGTGATGAAATGCGTAATGAAGACATAACAATAAATGTTGGGGAGTTAAAACTGTCAAAAAAAAAATTTAAATTCAAATCGTGACAATTGACAGCGATCTTCACATAAAATTTAATTTTTGCCAAAAGAACTTTTCTATTTTTTCAGTAGACATTAAAAATCAATTGTTCCAATTTTTATAATCTATCACAGAAACAACTGAAAATGCGTTTCAACCGAACTTCAGTTGCATTACCAGCTTCAAAATAAGAGAACGATTTCAGTGTAAAAATGTCCGTCCGATTATGTTTCCATCAAAATCTGGTGCGCACTCTACAGGTCGCAACCTTAAGACGAAGCATATTTAAAATTCATGAAATCGTTCCATTATTTCACCTAGCCGTACCCCCTGAATAGGGCTCCTGAGCTCATAATTATGTTAAATGTTCTAGTATCTACAAAAATCGCAATAACTTGTAAGTCAAAATATTACTACCGATTTTCGTAATGACCAGACCTAGTTTGGCTCTGCCCTCCTTACAAAGTCCTCTTTAGTAAATGGAGATCAATAATTGAATTATTAGCACTAGTATCAATTTTAATGTAAACGGCAATCCATAGAACATATATAAGGATAGGTCCATAATTACCCTTGACCTCGTATAATCCCGCTTTCAGAAAGCACTTTTTTGTCGAGAAAATATTTTGCATCAGCATTCATGTAAGTGAAAATTATATAAAGAGTACTTGGGTAAATGGAGGATCGTAATTTTTTGTCCACTGCATTATATTAAAAACAAAATTAAGAAAAACAATTCAATTACTTTTATTACACTTTATAATATTTGAACATAAAACACCCAAATCCGATAGTAAAAAACTTTTGCTTTTGTTAACGACATCATTGTTAGCAAAATGTTTATTATTAACTAACTTTCGATTTCTATAAAAGAAACTTATAAAATTTTTACTAATAGATAAGTGGACTGAACAAGTTTAAAGTATTACTTCTCTTGTATATCTATATAAAAACTCAATAATCAAGCACTTTATTAACGGTGAGTGTTTCTATAAAAAAAACCAACATCTTCTGGAGGCGATATGCAAAATTTAGTAAAACTACAAACCTGATGATGATCACAAACAGGGATGGAAAATTTAAATTTTGAAATACTTATGTAGTAAATACTAACTTATAACAAATTAAGTATTTTTTTAGGGTTTTAAGTACTAAACTAATTTTCAGACTATACATGATGCATGATTATACACCAGACTATAGACTAGCCTATAGACTAGACTAGACTATAGACTAGACTAGACTAGAATAAACTATAGACTAGACTATAGACTAGACTATAGACTAGACTATAGACTAGACTATAGACTAGACTATAGACTAGACTATAGACTAGACTATAGACTAGACTATAGACTAGACTATAGACTAGACTATAGACTAGACTATAGACTAGACTATAGACTAGACTATAGACTAGACTATAGACTAGACTATAGACTAGACTTTAGACTAGACTATAGACTAGACTAGACTATAGACTAGACTATAGACTATAGACTAGACTATAGACTATAGACTAGACTATAGACTATAGACTAGACTATAGACTAGACTATAGACTAGACTATAGACTAGACTATAGACTAGACTATAGACTAGACTATAGACTAGACTATAGACTAGACTATAGACTAGACTATAGACTAGACTATAGACTAGACTATAGACTAGACTATAGACTAGACTATAGACTAGACTATAGACTAGACTATAGACTAGACTATAGACTAGACTATAGACTAGACTATAGACTAGACTATAGACCAGACTATAGACTAGACTAGACTAGACGATAGACTAGACTATAGACTAGACTATAGACTAGACTATAGACTAGACGATAGACTAGACTATAGACTAGACTATAGACTAGACTATAGACTAGACTATAGACTAGACTATAGACTAGACTATAGACTAGACTATAGACTAGACTATATAGACTAGACTATAGACTAGACTATAGACTAGACTATAGACTAGACTATAGACTAGACTATAGACTAGACTATAGACTAGACTATAGACTAGACTAGAGACTAGACTATAGACTAGACTATAGACTAGACTATAGACTAGACTATAGACTAGACTATAGACTAGACTATAGACTAGACTATAGACTAGGACTATAGACTAGACTATAGACTAGACTATAGACTAGACTATAGACTAGACTATAGACTAGACTATAGACTAGACTATAGACTAGACTATAGACTAGACTATAGACTAGACTAGACTATAGACTAGACTATAGACTAGACTATAGACTAGACTATAGACTAGACTATAGACTAGACTATAGACTAGACTATAGACTAGACTATAGACTAGACTATAGACTAGACTATAGACTGACTATAGACTAGACTATAGAACTAGACTATAGACTAGACTATAGACTAGACTATAGACTAGACTATAGACTAGACTATAGACTAGACTAACTATAGACTAGACTATAGACTAGACTATAGACTAGACTATAGACTAGACTATAGACTAGACTATAGACTAGACTATTGACTAGACTATAGACTAGACTATAGACTAGACTATAGACTAGACTATAGACTAGACTATAGACAAGACTATAGGTTATATAGTAGACAGTTTAGATGTTAGAAAAAGTACATTAAATGTACCGGCGGTAACGCTGTATTTTTAAGTATCAAAAAGTACTGAAAAAAGTACTATAGTACTGAATTTTCCATGTCTGATTACAAATCAAAGCAAAGAAAGTCAATAAAATTAACAAGATTGAGTGAAAATAATAATGATTACATAGATTAAAGTTTATAAATAAAGTGATAAACTATGATGGTTAATAATAAAATATATACATTTTATTTTTACAGCTTTCATTCCGTTTGTGTCATGGTATGCGTGAACGTAAGGTTATGGAAGTAAGACGCACCTTAAATTGTCCACTGGACAGTACAAATGAAGTAACATTGTCTTTGGATCGTTCCACCCGACAACATTTACACGACACCATCGATTCTTTTCCCTTGGGTGAAATTGAAAGATCTGTGTTTAATCAGGTAAATATAACGACATTTCAAAATGTGAATTAGTCCATCAAAATAAGAATTTTTAAAGGATTTAGTGTATACAAAAACCTGTTTGGTGCGGATTACATATAAAGAATTATATTTGTATTATTCTTCTTAGGTCCTTTCAACTTTACACGAATACCCTTGTTTGGAATCTTGCCCTCCCCTTATACATTTTGTCAGTGCTTGTGCACGTTTAGCCTGGAAAATGGTTAATCAAAAGGTGCCCTATTATTTGGATAATGATTTTAATTTGGGTAAGTTTGGTACTTTATAGCAAACCCCTTCTAAACTTCTAATACTGCAAAATCGTTCTTTTATAATTTCCAGGTTTTCTACGTCCTGAAAAACATGAACGTCATGCTCTAGCAGATCGGCGCTCGGATTTAATACGCGCTTTTCTATGGCCCGCTCTAATGCAGAACAATCATTGTGTTTTTAAGGCAATAGTAACAACTTGAACCAGCAATAGTTCTTTTAAATATAAAAAAATTTATTATTATTATATTTTTTTAATAATTTTGTAAATATTTATTATTAATTATTATGCAAATAAAATAAATAAAATTTAATCATATGAATGTATACGTAAATCTAAATAAAATATTCGTAAAACACAAATATCAATTACATATTTTGTTTAAGACAGCAATTTTTTTTCTTATCTGAGATCATTTCAGTACAAATTCTGAGTTTCTTTTATTCGTATGGATCCATTGCCCATCTCAAACTATTATTGGTCTTAGAACTAAATTTAAACTACATTGTTTATTGGTACATTGTAAAATGTTGTGTTTGTAAAACTCTATAATATCATTGGGTGTATTGAAGTACTTCTCATTTGCCTTCTCCTGACCAATGGCAAAAAGTTCTTGACCCTTGATTTGTCTTATGAATAGATGAAAGAACTCCTGTTGGGCATAAATGCTGACAATGTATTTAATGGAAATATCCTAAAATGTTTAGAATAAATTAAGTTATTTTCTTTAAATAAGGTTCAAATTTCTTACCGTTTCTTTGTAGGGTCGTACTAAACAGGTTCCATCTTCTCTTCCCATTAGTATATCTTCAGCTGTGGCTCGATCAATGGTACGATAAAATGGTTCTGTTTCAATTTTTCTCTTTTCAATTTGTAAATAATTGGCATCTATGTCGTCTGTAAAAAATAGAAATTGGTTATATTCAATTTTAACGTTTTTCCTAATCGGCTGTAACAGCGCGAAGATATCCTAAGTTTTCTAATTAAGCAAGAACAATAAGTTACGTATAAAGGCGGAAGTACTCAACACGCGTTGTACGCGACAACGCGATATAGGCTTCTGTCAAAAAAGTTGAAATAGTGTGTTTTAATTTAACAAGTTACACACTGTAGTTTGTAACGCTTCTACCGCGAAAAGTTCAACAACTTCTAACTTTTGACGCGTTGGCAGCTGATCAGGGTTGTATTTCGTTTTGTGTATAATAAAAATAAACTATAATGAAATAAATTTCTCCAACAATGGAAGAAAAAATATACAAAAACTTAAATTTTTTTATTAAGCATGTAGAGCTCGAGCTAAATGAGAACATTTGAAAGGGGGCTTTTTGGTAATTTTAGTTCTCTAAGTAGTATTTTTTGAGCTTTCTATAATATTAAACCTAGAAACATGAAATTAAACATATAGAGTCCGGAGTAAAGATGATATAAGAACTAGGGTTCTATAGTTGAAACGAAAAGTCGACTTTTTTCATTTAGTTAAAAGTCGACTTTTTGCATTTTATGAAAAGTCGATTTTTCGACTTTTTTCATTTAATTAAAAGTCGACTTTTAGACTTTTCCACTATAAGTATTTTATAAATAGTCGACTTTTCGACTTTTTTTCGACTTTTTTCGACTTTATCCGACTTTTTTCGGAAGACTTTTCGACTTTTTGACTATTTTCGACTTTTTTTCGACTATTTTTTGACTTTTTTCGAGTTTTTTCCGATTATTTGAGAGTTTTTGACTTATTTTTCCACTTTTTTAAAGTTTTCGACTATTTTTGACTTTTTTCTACAATTTTCGAGTTTTCGACTTTTTCCGACTTTTCGACTTTTTACGACTTTTCGACTTTTTACGACTTTTCGACCTTTTTCGACTTTCTTCGACTTTCAGACTTTTCGACATTTTTCAACTTTTATTAACAAAGTCGACTTTTCGACTTTTTTCACAGACGATAGTCGAGTTATCGACTTTTTTGGAACAAAATAGTCGACTTTTCGACTTTTTTCGACAAAAAGTCGATTGTTCGATTATTCGAAAGTCGATTTATAGAACCCTAATAAGAACCTATTAAAGGGGACTTTTTGGAACTTTTCGTTCTTTAACTGGTACTTTTTGATTGTTCTATAATATTGAAGATAGAAATATGAAATTAATCATGCAGAGCCCGAAGTAAATGAGAACCTGTAAAAGTGGACTTTTTAGTAATTTTATTTGGTACTTTTTGAGTTTTCTACAACCAAGAAATATGAAGTTAAGCATATAGAGCCCGGGATAATATTTTCGAATATTTTGGTATCTTTAAAACTTCTTTATATCGAGTTACATTGCTGATTTAAGTCAGTTCATTATCTGAAGATATCCTTATATAGGGACTAAGATCAAATATAACCCGAATCTCATGAAGTAGGCAAATAGATTTTAGTTCCATATTTATTATTTGTTTATCCCGAATTTCATATCTCGATTTATAAGTGAGTTATGAGAGTTAAAGTCTTCTTCTGAAAGGGATCTTATATAGAGGTTATGATCAAAAATGCACATTATCTGTCATACTTCACTATTACGCTCTAAACAACATACTACATACTGCTCGATATTTTCAATACCGTGATCAGTATCTTATAATATATGAGATCCAAGAACATTCAATACATCTGGAAAAATCACTTTTTGATGTGAATTTTGGGCAAGTGATGCTATCGGTCCATATTTCATTGAAAACGATCTTAGCTTCATTTATATTTAAAATTTTATAAGAAAAATATTTAAGGTTTTAACATAATAAGTTCTTTCTTTTTGATTTATTCCGGACATTTTGCACAATACTATAGTTAATAATACATTCTTAAAAAGTACACATCTTTATTGTTTACATTATCTCTGTTTTTATTTTTTATATGCAAAATATTAATTATAATATTTAAAAATTTGTCAGTTCCATATACATACTCAAATTACTTTCTAGCTAACTTGTTTACAGCAGCGATTACTCTCTATTTAATACAATTCTCATTCACATTTCTCACTCTTACCCACTATGACATAATCATGTTGAATTCTAGACGATTGTTGCTGATGAAGTTCATTTGAATTCAAATTTAAACCATTCTCCACCGGATCATATTCACCATCATCATCTGATAAATTTCTCATTTGTTGATGTTTATAACAATTACAACAACCACGACAACAACAAGAACAACATATACGCGTAGTATCGGAATAAGAACAACTACTACAGAGATTTGAAAAGAATCTAACGAATAAATTATGTAAAACAGTCCAATAAACACGTATCGACCAACACATTGCGATCGATGATCATTCACTCAACTGGTTGACGACAACACACATTCGAAACACAAAAAAAAAAAGAACGCAAAAACTATTTCATAAAATAACGTTGTTTTTCGATTTAATTTTTTTAGTTATTTTTATAAAATTACAAATATTTAAAAATAAATTTGCCATTAATTTTCGTTTTAAAAATGTTTATTTATTTTTATTATTATTGTTTTTGGTGTTGTAATTAATAAATTAATTTTATATGCGAATTTAAAAGCGTCTGGACATGTCTACGTTGTATGGTGTCTTAATGAATACTGACAAATAAAACAAAAAAATTATTATAATTCCCCGATACATATTAATAATAATAATGATGATGATAAACAGTGACTTAATTACTAAGTATGTACTTTAAGTAGTCTATTCTCTCATATTGTATTTAAATATTTTATCATGATGCTAATGATCATTAAAATGATATTTAATATTTTGAATTATTTAGTACAGATATTATAAGCCCCTTCTTGTATTTAGTTGTTTTTTTAATTTATGTCTTTTGTTTTTGTATTGTAAAAAAATATTACATATAACAATTAATTGAAAACTAAACATATTGTCACAGTCTCGCGGTTTCTAAAAATATGCAGTCAAGTGTTGATAACAACAGATTGTTAAGGAATTAGATTTTTATTTTAAGATGAAATAAATACCATTTAAAACCATTTGGTTGTATTATCTCCTAACGACTTAATTAAATTTTTAAACGAAATGAAGTTGACTGTCACGACTTCATTGAATTCGCAGAGCTTCCATAATCCAAGTTACACGAAGCAGAGAGAACGTTTCGCAAAACTGTCATCACATCAATATAGTCATTCCGGGCGTGATCTCCATAGTAGTTGTAAAGTCACAGATTACTCACGATCACCTATTCAAAACAATTTGTCTGGATCGAGTCAAACATTTCAGCGACTCGTTTTGATCTTTGGTCAAATTTCAAAAACTAAAAATGCAAACTCACACAGCTCCAGATTACAGATTCGGAATCAACTAAACGTAATAGTACTTACTTAATTCATATCTAAAACCATTGCCCTATGTGTTGTTGACATTTTCCTAAGATCAGACTTACACGGTTGAAGTGAATTTCCAGGACACAAAGTTAAATATTGTAATTGCAGCCTGGACCAATTGAAAGATTCATCACGTTGAAAGTAAACAGATTTTTCAGAGTCAAATTAGCAGTTAGTTAATTAGTTATTAGTTAGTTAGTTAGTTAGTTAGTTAGTTAGTTAGTTAGTTAGTTAGTTTTTAGTTAGTTAGTTGTTCGTTCGTTAGTTCGTTAGTTAGTTCGTTAGTTAGTTCGTTCGTTCGTTAGTTCGTTCGTTTCTGTTCGTTCGTTCTCGTTCGTTAGTTCGTTCGTTCGTTCGTTTCGTTCGTTCGTTTCGTTCGTTCGTTCGTTCGTTAGTTCTTCGTTCGTTCGTTCGTTCGTTCGTTCGTTTCGTTCGTTCGTTCGTTCGTTCGTTCGTTGTTCGTTCGTTCGTTCGTTCGTTCGTTCGTTCGTTCGTTCGTTCGTTGTTCGTTTCGTTTCGTTCGTTCGTTCGTTCGTTCGTTCGTTCGTTCGTTCGTTAGTTCGTTCGTTTTCGTTCGTTCGTTCGTTCGTTCGTTCGTTCGTTCGTTTCGTTCGTTCGTTCGTTTCGTTCGTTTTCGTTCGTTCGTTCGTTTCTTTCGTTTCGTTCGTTCGTTCGTTCGTTCGTTCGTTCGTTCGTTCGTTCGTTCGTTCGTTCGTTCGTTCGTTCGTTTCGTTCGTTCGTTCGTTCGTTCGTTCGTTCGTTCGTTCGTTCGTTCGTTCGTTCGTTCGTTTCGTTCGTTCGTTCGTTCGTTTCGTTCGTTCGTTCGTTCGTTTCGTTTCGTTCGTTCGTTCGTTCGTTTCGTTCGTTTCGTTTCTTCGTTCGTTCGTTCGTTCGTTCGTTCGTTCGTTTCGTTCGTTCGTTTCGTTCGTTCGTTCGTTTTTCGTTTCGTTCGTTTTCGTTTTCGTTCGTTTTCGTTCGTTCTTCGTTCGTTCGTTCTTCGTTCGTTCGTTCGTTCGTTCGTTCGTTCGTTCGTTCGTTCGTTCGTTCGTTCGTTCGTTTCGTTCGTTCGTTTCGTTCGTTCGTTTTCGTTCGTTCGTTCGTTCGTTCGTTGTTAGTTCGTTCGTTAGTTCGTTCGTTATTCGTTCGTTCGTTCGTTTTTCGTGTTCGTTCGTTCGTTCTTTCGTTCGTTTTCGTTCGTTAGTTCGTTTCGTTCGTTCGTTGTTCGTCGTTCGTTCGTTCGTTCGTTCGTTCGTTCGTTCGTTCGTTCGTTCGTTCGTTCGTTCGTTCGTTCGTTCGTTCGTTCGTTCGTTCGTTCGTTCGTTTCGTTCGTTCGTTCGTTCGTTGTTCGTTCGTTGTTCGTTCGTTTTCGTTTTCGTTCGTTCGTTCGTTCGTTTCGTTCGTTCGTTCGTTCGTTCGTTTCGTTCGTTCGTTCGTTCGTTCGTTCGTTCGTTCGTTCGTTCGTTTCTTCGTTTCGTTCGTTCGTTCGTTCGTTCGTTCGTTCGTTTCGTTCGTTCGTTCGTTCGTTCGTTCTTCGTTCGTCGTTCTTCTTCGTTCGTTCGTTCGTTCGTTCGTTCGTTCGTTCGTTCTTTCGTTTCGTCGTTCGTTCGTTCGTTCGTTCGTTCTTGTTCTTCGTTCGTTCGTTCTTCGTTCGTTCGTTCGTTCGTTCGTTTCGTTTCGTTCGTTCGTTCTTTTCGTTCGTTCGTTCGTTCGTTAGTTCGTTCGTTCGTTCGTTCGTTCGTTCGTTCGTTCGTTCGTTCGTTCGTTCGTTCGTTCGTTCGTTCGTTCGTTCTTCGTTCGTTCGTTCGTTTCGTTCGTTCGTTCGTTCGTTCGTTTTCGTTCGTTCGTTCGTTCGTTCGTTTTCGTTCGTTCGTTCGTTCGTTCGTTTCGTTCGTTTCGTTCGTTCGTTCGTTTCGTCTTCGTTCGTTCTTTCGTTCGTTCGTTGTTCGTTCGTTCGTTGTTCGTTCGTCGTTCGTTCGTTCGTTCGTTCGTTCGTTCGTTCGTTTTCGTTCGTTCGTTCGTTCGTTCGTTCGTTCGTTCGTTCGTTCGTTCGTTCGTTCGTTCGTTCGTTCGTTTCGTTCGTTCGTTCGTTCGTTCTTTCGTTCGTTCGTTCGTTCGTTTCGTTCGTTTTCGTTCGTTCGTTCGTTCGTTAGTTAGTTCGTTCGTTGTTCGTTTTCGTTAGTTCGTTTCGTTCGTTAGTTCGTTCGTTCGGTTTGTTGTTATTTCGTCGTTAAGTTCAGTTATTAGTATTAGTTAGGTTGTTTTAGTTGTTCTTAGTGTTTAGTTAGTTATTAGTTTAGTTCGTTCCAATTTTAAACCTTCCAATAATCACCCCATTATGCTACACCAACTCAATCATTGCTAGACGACATCCATAATAACGATTACGGATTTGATCAACAGTGAAGATAGACGAACAGACGAATTATAAATCGAACCACTTACACATGCAAAAAAAAAAATCGGCTAAGCTGTTATTTATGTATGTATGTACTCATAAGAGTAGGTCAATGTATATTTCTCATTGTCAGATGTCCGAATTTCGGGTGAACTTTTAAGAAGAGCACAGTGAGTGGATATGCAAATTACAACAAAATGTTTTTTCAGACAAATCTGCTTCAGCAGTACGGCTTCAGTGAACCGGAGGAAAGTTTTGTGAAACATCAACCTTTAACATTTGTTTTAAACTAAATATTTTATATTAAACGATATAACGATAGATAGATATGAGTCCTAGTAAACACAGAACAAACTAAGCCAGGATTAATCTATTTATATTGGTCCCTATATGGACTAGTATCTGCCTTAATTAAAAACCAGATTATGTTCAGGTTCAATAATGTCCAACCAACCCTATTTTATTTATTCCAATTTCAACTTATCTTGTACCTAAATTAAAGTTATTGTTATTAAAACAACGAAATGGAATTGTGTTAGAAAAACCCAGTATCTGGCCTAAAGGCTCTCTAAGGAATTAATCTTCTCAACAAATTTAATTCCAAAATGATTAAACTCTTTAGAAACTCTGTCTAGAAAAAGATTCATCTTGTTTATATATCAACATCATAAGCCATTTTTTTCTTGCAATATGTTTTATATACCCCATTATTGTTTTTATTCTAAAATGTATCTAGTATCTATCTCTACTATCTATTTATCTGTAATCTGAATCTTGTTATATTTAATTTGTTAAGCGCTGTAAACAACTCCTTCCGGATTATATATGTATTTTTTTCTCAGACTGTTTTTTCGCGTCGCCTTTACCACAGAATACCAACAACTATGGTGATCATGACTTTTTTCACACATGTGTGCATTTTCGTTGTCTCATTTTCACTGTCATGTAAATTCAGTAATAATTCATAGTGCTGTTGTTATTGTTTTCTGTGGTTTGGTTTGTTTTTGTTGTCTACTCATATGGAGACTTGTTGGAGCCAATTGTAATTTAATTCATTCATATTATATGTATGTATGCTTAATGATCATCACTGATCATTATTTAAACACATGGCAAGCAGGCAGTGTGGTATATAAGCAAATGACCTTGAGAAAACGTTGATCTTAAGTACACATATTGTTGTTGTATTTAGTAAAGCACTTGCAATAAATATTATAATTTCTTTTGAAAAACGGTTAAATTTAAAAACATAGAAAAAGTTCTCAAAAAATGAAAAATTTATAGAATATCGAAATTATTAAGAAGGGAATGGAGGCTTGTGATTCCCTTCGTAGAGTGTGAAGATCCAAAGTTAGAGAAACACAACACTATAAAAACAGATAGAACATAAGTACAGAGGAATGGATGGATGATTCCCAAGGGGTTTCAACCTGAACGTTTTGCCGAATCGATTCCGTAAGAAAGAATTGTGCGCGAATCTGAGTCTACCTATAAAACATAATCGATGTAATGACTAATTCCTCTGATAAAACCTAGCCATTTCAACTTAAGTTCTTATGCAAATCCTGCAATAGGCCTGACAACCAATGTGGAATCCAATTTACCATATTCATTTGGCTTGCTTTCCCGGTCTTGTGTATAAAAATAACCTTAACCTCCAACTTTTTTGTAAATATCTGCTGCTCCTATAAATAAAAGAGATAAAGCGTCCACAGACAAGTTCTTTAGTAAAGCAGGAAATATAAATTCACCTTCTATATAACAGGAAGTGTGACTTGGCCATGGTAGAAGTCTCATTGGTCGTCAACCACATCTTCAGTTGCCAGACTACCCAGAAAATGTGTTTCCATAAGTCGAGTTAGAATACACACATACATATACATATATAAATTTGTTAAATTGCTGTTATTGCTAAAACAGATCATACTATTTAAAATAATTTTAAGTCTTAAAATTTAAAAGTTCTTTATACATAGTTCCTTTACAAAAAAATCTACAAATTTTCACCGCTAAAAGAAGCAGCGTGTTTTGGCTATTTAGTAGTGATGACAACCAAACCTACTTGGCAGTGCTTTTTGGTGTTTGTCTTGACTACACGGTAGTTGTGTTTTCTACTGGGGATGGTAAACCCGATATTTTGTCAGTTATCAGAATGTGACATTTCTGTTAACAAATTTAATAAAAATAGTATTATAATTATCCCTTCGTTGTTTAGTATGTAGTGTTGTAGTTTTCTCGTATTACTGTAAAGTGCAATTTTTTTCAAAAGGTCTCTTGTCAATAACTGTAAGAAAACATGAAAATAAAAAGAAAAGGGAAGAACATAGATATTAAACTGGCACTAGTAATTAGAAACGAAATTTACATCGAAAACTCTTATAAGAATTTGCAAGAAGTTCCGTGCCTCACTTTCATCATGAAAACTTATATTAAAAGTTTTTAAATATTAACAGGAAAGACATACATACTTAAAATGTTATAAAATTTCCGCTAGATTTACAAATTTTTTTCTTACATTTTAAATTAAATAAATAATAAATACCGTTATTAAAAAAAAAAAAACATAAAAACTCTGCCCTCTAACAGTAGATTTTATGCCGCCGATAAAATTCTGATTGTCAGCTGCCAACGCCGTTAATTTTGATCGGCGCAGGTTTCTGCTACGGGATTCTGTAAAAAAATTTATGGCTGGTGCAAAATTTTATATAAAATTTAATTTTATTTATTAAAAAATAAAGTATTAAACATTGCGAAATACTATTTAATTAGTTTACAATTATTATTAAGAAGTTACAAACGAATTTGTGCATATATGTGAAAGACGTGAAGAACAAAATCTTTGCTTGAATGAATCTCAAATGAGGAAAAAATGATTTTCATTAACTTTTCAATGAGAATATTCAATATCGATTAAATATTTCAACTACCTACTATATGATTTTGGCAAATTGTTAAAAAGTGTTTTTCGTTCAAATATAAAACAAACACAAAATGCTGGAAAAATCAGATCATGTAGCACTTACTCTTACGACCGGTGGTGGTATCGGTGGTACTGAAGAGTCACCGATTGGTAATACAATTCTACCCAGTTCACGTAAAAGTTTAAGACGTGTAAGTGCTTTATTCTAATTTCAATAATATAAATCATTTAAAACAATGGAAAACACTTTGTTATTGTTTTCTTTTCAGTACTGGAATCAACTACCTCGCTGTCAACGTAATCTTATTATTTTAGGCATATCTGCCATGTGTATTACTTTACTTTTCCTACTGCCGTCCGATCAATTGGATCTCAACAGTAAACAATCTTTAACCGGCGGTGTCTTACCCTATCAGGATACCAAGGATAAACTATCGCTTGGCGCTTTAATGCGCAACAATTATTCTAATGAAGGTCAAGAGGCAGTAGCAGCCGCTGCTAATAATGATAATAAAAATGTGTATCCCTATGCCGATACAGATAATGCTCAAAATATACAAGAGGTAAGTTGTTGAGTAATTAATTTTTAATGTGTTTATTTAGTGATAAGTAATTAAGGTAGGCAAACGGTATTGATTGATTTTCACACCTATTCTATACCCTACAGCAGTATTGTATTAGGAATGGTATTATGCGTTTGTGCTAATGTTTGCAACCTTCAAAAATATTGATCATTTAATGCACATTGTCTGCAATCAAACTGCTGAAAAAATACTCAATTCTAGACCAGATATTTTTGAACTTTTTCAACTTTTAAAATAATTTTGTGAAATTAGCTTTCTTCTTCCCTTAAAATCCCTTATAATCGATGCCAGAAAGAGGAAAAGTTCTTTCAGAATAAAAATACGTTAAATTTTAAGATGGAATTATAAACCATCATCTCAAAAAGAAAACTTCGACAAAATTTACTCGATCACGTATTTGCTTAAAAATTAAACTGACAATTTTTGTAAAAATCGGATTTTAGTCATTTAAGGTCGCTTTAGAAAATCAAGTCAAAGTTTCTAATTACTGCAGAGTTCGGTTAGCAAGAAACAAAAGTCATATAGTCGTACTACAATTTTTTAGTTGCTTTTTCATCAAATTTTGTTTTTTTCTATTATACCAACATGTGGCCGTATTTTTTTTTTTTTGTTGTGTTTTTAGTTATATTTGCTCTTATCAGTATACAATTATAAATATGTGTACAATATGAGTTCTAATACTATTGATTTTTATTTATTGTTTTGTGAGTGCCAATTTTGTTATTAATTGTTATTTATTAACAATGTAATTAATGTTTTAATTATTAAGTCTATTATTTTCTAATATGTATAATTGATATTAAACATTTTCAAGATTTATACGAAAGCTTAGTAAAATCCATTCTTTTTATTTAAAATTTTCACAAATCTCACGTTAAAAAGAACTTATTCTTTGTATATTTCTTTATCAAACTTATCAAAAATGCCTATTACACACTTCATATACAATATATTTATTAATAATTATCTGTTGCAGTAGGTCAGTAATTATTTTAATAACTACATAGTTATATTTATCATGTTCTTTAATAAGATTACAGAACATTGAACTGAAGAGCTTGCGATATGTACTACATTATCGACCACTATGAATGAAAGCCATAGTTCTAAATATAACATTTAAAAAACGTGCAAACTTGTATTTATTCATAGGTTTTATACTTATTGATAAAAATATACATATGTGGTATAGGTCAGTGTATCTGTTTATGGCAGGTACGTTAGTCATTAGTTAAAGGGGACAATGAACTAATAATTTCGTGATAATAAATGTTTAATTGTAACATTTTGATTTTGTTACTTGAGAAATGCTTTAAACTTAATGAAAACATAGATAAGCAGAAACACTGTGCACAAATACGATTTTCACTAAATTTAAATTTTCTCTAAAAACACAATGTTTTATAATTTTTTAAAATTCTCGCATCTTTTTTATACCCTCCACCACCATCAGTGGTGATAGAGGGTATATATAACTTTGTCATTCCGTGTGTAACACCAAGAAATATTCATCTGAGACCCAACAAAGTATATATATTCTGGGTCCTTATGAAATTCTGAGTCGATTTAGCTATGTCCGTCTGTCCGTCCGTCCGTCCGTCTGTCTGTCTGTCTGTGTAAAACACGCTCACGTTAAAAAGAAGCAATATAATTTAACCAAATTCACCCAAAATATTCATTATTACCCGGTACAGTTTGGTATTGAAAATGAGCAATATCGGTTCACATCGGGAAAAGTTATGAATCAAAATTTAAAACAACCTCGAAAAAAATAAGCATTTTTTTCACATTCTAATGTAATTTTCTCCAAAACTATTCAAGATAATTCCATGAAAATCACCATACATTCGTTTCTACACAAGATCTTGATCCGTGCAAAAAATTGCCAGAATCGGTCCACAATTTCATATACCTCCCATACAAAAGTACATATTCCCGGAAAATGGGTTTTTCGTTAATAACTTCCATCACAATGTCGATATCTTCACAAAATTTTACAAATTGAAATCTTATGTCAATAGAATTCTTTCAGAGAAAAATTTTCTGGATCGGTCCATAATTGGACATAGCTCCCATACAAGGTCCCCTCCCGAAAATCACTTAAACGCGCATAACTCATTACTAAATTAAGATATCCATATAAAATTTGGTATAAGTATTGCCTATATGCACAGAAATATTACTGTGAAAATTTTTTCCGATCGGTTCAAAATTGGTCATAGCTCCCATACAAGGTCCCCTCCCGAAAATCACTTAAACGCGCATAACTCATTACTAAATTAAGATATCCATACAAAATTTGGTATAAGTATTACCCATATGCATAAAAATATTACTGTGAAATTGTTTTCCGATCGGTCCATAATTGGTCATAGCTCCCATACAAGGTCCCCTCCCGAAAATCACATAAACGCGCATAACTCATTACTAAATTAAGATATCCATATAAAATTTGGTATAAGTATTGCCCATATGCACAGAAATATTACTGTGAAAGTTTTTTCCGATCGGTCCATAATTGGTCTAGCTCCCATACAAGGTCCCCTCCCGAAAATCACATAAACGCGCATAACTCATTACTAAATTAAGATATCCATATAAAATTTGGTATAAGTATTGCCCATATACATAGAAATATTACTGTGAAAGTTTTTTCTGATCGGTCCATAATTGGTCATAGCTCCCACACAAGGTCCCCTCCCGAAAATCACTTAAACGCGCATAAATCATTACTTAATTAAGATATCCATATAAAATTTGGTATAAGTATTGCCCATATACATAGAAATATTACTGTGAAAGTTTTTTCTGATCGGTCCATAATTGGTCATAGCTCCCATACAAGGTCCCCTCCCGAAAATCACTTAAACGCGCATAACTCATTCCCAGCAAAAAATAATTGATGTCATACTTTACAAACGACATCTTAATCATATTTAAAAATGCGATTGCATACTTTTCGCTTTTATAAACCAAACATATACTTACAAATTAAAACACAGTTAAAAATGAGAAAAGAGATGTAGAAAAGTCACTACAAACAACATATTCGAAGTACTTCAAATTTTGATGAAAAACCAATGAAATTTACATAAGCGTTTCATTGAAAGAATGTGGTTTATTTTTGACATACAAATATCGGATTTTTACAGCTTCTAAAGATAAGATTAGATGTAGTTCAAAGTTGTCAAAAATGAACAACATCCCTCCAATGACACGCTAATGTAAAATTCATAGGTTTTTCACCTGAATTTGAAGCACTTCGGGTTACTAGTTGTGATGAAAATTCTACATCTTTTTCCACACTTTTTTTGCTGGGTTACTAAATTAAGATATCCATACAAAATTTGGTATAAGTATTGCCCATATACATAGAAATATTACTGTGAAATTTTTTTCCGATCGGTCCATAATTGGTCATAGCTCCCATACAAGGTCCCCTCCCGAAAATCACTTAAACGCTCATAACTCATTACTAACTATAAAGTTTGGCAGAAGTATTGCTCATATACAGAGAAATATTACTGTGAAATTGTTTTCCTATCGGTCCATAATTGATCATAGCTGCTATACAAGGTGCCTTTCAGAAAACACTTAAAGGCACATAACTCATTAGGAAATAGTGATACCCATAAAATATTTGGCATTAATACTATTTTTGTACACATAAATGTTATTTCAAAATTTTTTCACGATTAGTCCAACCTTGGTCATAGCTCCCATATAAGGTTCCTTCCCGAAAATCACTTAAACGCACATAATTCATTACCAAATATTGATATCATACATTTAGCAAAATTATTGCTCTTATATACATAAATTACACTATAAAATTGTTTTACGATCGGTCTATATTTGGTCATAGCTCTCATACTAGGTCCCCTCCAGAAAATCACTTAAATGCACAATATTCATTACCAAATAATGATATAGATACAGAATTTTTAAATTTTGTTTTTATACATAATTCGTCATAGCTCTCATACAAGGTCCTTTTACGAAAATCTCTTAAACGCACATTACTCATTACCAAATAAAGCTATTGATACAAAATTTGCCACAAATATTAGTTTTGTACACAAAAATTCTATTTCAAGATTTCTCACGATCGGCTCATAACATGGGTGCGGTCGGTCCCATACAAGGTTCCCTTCCGAAAATCACTTAAACACACATTACTTATTACTAAATTACGATATAGATATAAAATTTTACTGAAATATAGCTTTTATGTACAGAAATTTATCTTAAAGAATTTTTTACGATCGGACTATATTTGGTCATATCTAGGTCCTGCCCCTGAAAGCACTTTAACCGTATTTAACTAGTTGCATTATCAATTTGTGTAGATTATATATATGTATTTTGAAAATCCTTTAATTTTCACACACATGCATACATGCAAATTACTAAATATCGCTAAGCGCTATAAAAATATAAAGAAAATTGCGTTTGTAATGTTCAATAAATCTTGGAATTGTAATAGATTTAAGCTGTTTAAATCTTGGGACTTTTCAATTTAAGACATGAGATAACTTATTTCTACAAATATTTGACCAATTAGAAAAGTCTTAATATAAAAGTAGCTGGTGGAGGGTATTTAAGATTCGGCTCAGCCGAATTTAGCACTCTAACTTGTTTGGAATTTTTTTTATTTCTAAAATGCGATTTTTTTTAAATTTGTAATAAAATTCGATTCTTTGAATTTTTAATTAAAAATATATTTTTAGAATTTCAAATAAAAATTTCAAAAATCTTGTTTGTTATCTTCTAAAAAAATATAAATTTTTTACTAAAAAAAAAAATTTTTCCTTATTATTTTCAGCAAAATGCAGCTCAACAAAAACGTGAACTACCACAAGCCGATCAACAACAAGTCGAAGATACTGTAAATTTACCCCAAACACAAAGAAATCAAAATCAATTAGCTCAATCACAAATTAGTGCTCAAAATCTCGATGAACCTATTGGCAAAGTTAAAATTCAAAATATTATTAACAATGATTTGAGTGGCAATACTCAGGATGTAAAAACCAGTAACTTGCAATCAAATAATGTCGAAGATGATCGTCAAACCATAGAATCATCGATACAGGATCCGCTCAGCTTGCCCGGTACGAATGGTGTAACAATTGAAGAATTTTTAGGACGTATTGATCTTAAACATTTACCCAAAAAACAACATTTTCATGGAGCACGTAATGAAAAACAAGAGGCAGTGGTAAATGCTTTCAAGCACTCATGGACTGGTTATAAAAAATACGCCTGGGGTCATGATAATTTAAAACCCATATCGGAATCTTCACATGATTGGTTTGGTTTAGGTTTAACACTGATAGATTCTTTGGATACGATGTACATAATGGGTCTAGAAGATGGTGAGATATAAATGTGTAAAATTTTTATATAATTTAATTATTATTCTTTTTATTATTTTAGAATTTACTGAGGCCCGCAATTGGGTTAGTGAAAATTTAAATTTTGATGTTAATCGTGATGTGAATTTATTCGAAGTTACTATACGTGTTTTGGGTGGCTTATTATCAGCCTATCATTTAAGTGCCGATAAGGTTTTTCTACAAAAATCGGTTAGTTTTTATAGTTTATTTTTTTTTTACCAAAGCTTTTGCTTAGTTTTAGTTTTTTTTTTTTTTTTTGCTTTTTAGATTGAACTAGGCAATCGCTTGTTGCCTTGCTTTCTTTCGCCCTCCGGTATTCCCTATTCCGATGTTAATTTAGCTGCTTTATCTGCTCATGCACCCAAATGGTCACCCGATAGCTCAACTAGTGAAGTTACCACAATTCAATTGGAATTTAGAGATTTAAGTAGAATAACTAATGTTACTTTATATGAAAGTGTAAGTATAAAGCTAAAGAAATTTTAAATTTTATATAAATTTATGTATTTATTTCTTATTTTTTAGGTTGCTCATCGTGTTAATGAAAAAGTTCATGCTTTGGAAAAGAACAACGGTTTAGTGCCGATATTTATTAATGCCAATACCGGTACTTTTAGAAATTATGCCACAGTTTCTTTGGGTGCCAGAGGAGACTCCTACTATGAGTATTTAATCAAGCAATGGATACAAACTGGTCATAAGGAAAACGATTTGTAAGTAGCTTTTTTAACGATATTATTTTTGTACCGATTTTTCTGTCCTGAGGTTGTGAAAACTGTAAAATTTAATAGAATTTATAGCTTTTGATTACTAATTAGTAATAGAATTAATAGAATGAATGAATTCGAATTGTCTGTTAAAAAGTTGTGGAGAATTCTTTTCGATAGATAAAGCTATAGCTAGATTGTTAATCTTTTTTTTAAGTTTGGAAGATCGGTTTTACAATTTACAATTAAGTTTCTGATTAATAGTTTGCGATGAAGATCTTAAAGTAGTCTGAAGAAAATATTGTTTAATATCAGATTTATTTATATCATTGGAAAACGTTTTACTATAGCATTTTTATACATAAATATCCACAAAACTGTTTGATAACCTTTCGTGTTGATTTGGGGTTTTTTAAACTTCAGGTTAATATAACTCAAAACACAGATATTAAAAAGGAAATTCTGAAGTCAGATTCTGATATATTGTTCTTTTGAAATGTAAACTTTATTTCCTGGGTTTTAGAATTTCTTAAAATTGAATTCCTTATAAAGCAAAAGTTTAAAGTGAGTCCTAGAATTTCAATAGACAAAATTATAACAGTAATTATTACTATAAGAAAGTAAATAACAGGGTCTTTAATAAATACATGAAACAAAGAAGAGATTAAGATATATTTACATATATCTGGACATTCTGAAAAATATATATCAAGATTTTACCACATACATACTTAAAAATAATTCAAAACGTTTAAAAACCCTTTAACAGTTTGGTAACGGACTATATACGTGCCATCGATGGCGTCTTTTCACAACTACTACGACGAACACCCAAAGAAAATCACGTCTACATAGGAGAACTTATCAATGGCAAAGAGTTTAAACCCAAAATGGATCACTTAACCTGTTATCTACCCGGAACATTACTATTGGGTCATCACTATGGCATGCCAGATTCTCATTTGTTATTGGCGCGTGATCTATTGGAAACCTGTTATCAAACCTATATGAAACAGCCAACTCAGCTAGCACCAGAAATCTCTTATTTTGCTGTAGGCGAACACGAAGAATTGGATATTTATGTTAAGCCCAATGATGCCCACAATCTACTAAGACCCGAATTTGTAGAAAGTCTATACTATTTCTATGCTTTGACCGGCAATCGTACCTATCAAGAAATGGGTTGGAATATTTTCCAGGCCTTTGAAAAGTATACCAAAGTTTCACATGGCTACAGTTCGATTGGTAATGTTAAGAATATTTTCAATACCAGACTGCGTGATATGATGGAAAGTTTTTGGTTGGGTGAAACCCTTAAATACTTTTATTTACTCTTTAGTGATAGTCCCAAAGAAATTGATTTAGAACAATGGATTTTTAATACGGAAGCACATCCTTTACCTATAAGAAAAAACTAAAAGTACACTAACTACATACATACGCAAAAAAAGAGTCTGAATTTCAAACGAAACAAAACAAAGGAAACTAAAATTTTCGATATGTAATTGTAAATATGCGTCTAAGTAATTAAGTTATTTTCTTTATAATTTTCAATTAGTAATTTTGTGTGTAAGTGTCGTGTCTGTGTACAAAAGTGCTGTGCATAAGAAAAAAACAAAATTTTAGTTCTTATATTAATTATAATAATTTATTAAAAAAAAAACACTTTAAACAAATTGCAACGAAACGTAAGTGTTAGTAAGATAAAGTGAAAAAATGAAGATTTTTTTTTAGAAATCTAAAAGTTTTTTCAATAACTTTTTAAACCTATTTCTTTATTCTTCTTTATTTTACGTTTCGTTGCTCTTACAATTGTAATTATAGTAGAAAATAGTGTCTGTAGTTGTGTATTTTTTTTAGTATAAACTAACTATACTTTAAACAACAAGCAAGCGTTAAAGCCAAATAGCTAATGATATCATAAAATCTCACCAATAATTATATTTTTTCCTCTCTCTCTCTCTAATTAAACTTAATATAATTATAGTAAATATACCAACATATTATTATAAAAACAATTAAAACAAATACGAAAACATTACTAAATTAGTTAATATTACATATTATGAATTTTAAGCAATATTTATATTCAAACTTATTTAACAATATATTTTATTATTATTATTATTTTTTAAATTAATTTATGATATTGCCAGAATATCTGAGTCTATATGCATTTAATGTATTTTTGTTTAAATATTTTTTTCTTTTCAATTACACACAACAACAATTTTTAATTGAAATATTTAATTGTTTTTTTTTTAATTTTAGAGAAAATTCAAAAATTAAATAATTTGTCCAGTATAATATTGATTTATATTTGTTTAAAAACTGATTAAAAATTATACCGCAGCAGTATATTTACATTACTAAATGATCAGTAATACCCTCCTTACTGCCCTCAATTCCTGTTAGACCTACTTTGTACAGTATTCTTGAGTGACCTACCCGCTTTGGTCTTACTAGAGCAGATTCAAACAGTCTAAATAAGTTCCTCGCCGCTACACACTCAACATTTTTCTTAATTGGAAGTAAGTAGATTTAGAATAATTTCCAATGTTACCTGCGTTGTACTACTCCTAGCACTAGTTATGCCGATGGAGGCACACCTTTGAGGTTTATTGAGTATTAGTCTATAGCTGCTTTTCTTCATCCCTACCTACCACACAGGTACAGCCAAAGGTAATAATAGGCCTTACTGCCGCCGTGAAAATCCAATTTACCATGTCTGGTCGCAATCCCCAATTCTTGCAATAGAGTTTCTGCATATGTAATATGCATTGAGACCCTTTTTTAGCCTTTCCTTCCTAGACAATGTGCGGTAGAGGAAAGTCCCTAGATACTTGGCCCCAAAGCCGTTTAATTTCGTCAAGCTAAAAGTCTCTTTATTTCATAGTGAAGAGAACTAGCTCCGTCTTAGATGTTTCCACACCCAACTTATTCCCTTTAGCCCAGATTGATAGTTCACAACAATTTTGACATGGAGGTCAGTAAGGGTAACGTCACCGTCCTTCCATGTACTGTCAAAGTCCCTATCATCCTCGATGACTGTGACGTCCGTATTGTCTCTACCTAACAGGTCGACCACCCCTTGCGTCTCGTCCCTATTCTCATCCTTGTTCCCACTAGAAAGCACGTACAGACGGAGGATCCACGCAGTGACGGTGTACGTGGACTAGGCAACTTGCCCCGACGCTGAGGGGAGATGTTAGCGACTAGCCTCTTTATGCACTGGCTAATCATGTAGGTCCTCGGCACTGCTACCACTCACCTTGACCTTAAAAGTGCATATATAACGCTATGTCTAACGGTAAAGCCCTTACTGCACAAAGAGTGAGCCAGATCAAATAACATAGCGTATAATCTACATCATGATAGAAGGATTGAAAGACACATACCACACTCACTATCTTGACAAGATGAGAAACCTTTAGTTATACACTTCTTTGAACCCTAAACTTTACATGGCTAGATACCAAAGTATTAGTCACAGTAAGCTAGAGTCACGATGTGTACTTATGCCCTCGCATCACGACAAGATAGTTACCCTTGGCGAAGGAAGTAAGCATAGTAGGGGTAATAACACTTCTCCTTGTGGTGTACCCCTGGTAAATCCTTTTCTAATCCTATCTTCCCCTAAGGTTGAGTTGATACTATCGATACTATCCAACTCAATAGGAAATCCTAAACCCAGAGTACGACTAGCGACTTCCTGATGGCCTCTTTTCTAATGTTGTTAAAGGGCGGCTATTTTGGTTTTAAATACTAGTTATCTTAATTCGAGATTAGTCCAGCAGTGGTCGGACTTATCAACTATATCATCATTGTTAGTTTTATATATTTAACTGTATTCTAAATGTAACTAATACTCCTGGGCACTGTAAGATTACTCAATAACAAGATTCGTAAGTGAAAGTGTTCGAATTTAAATACATTAAAATCCTGACGCGACGGAGGTAACCCAATGTTATTAAACATAAAGTTTCTTTGTTTAAAAGTCCAGGGAAATGTTAGAAAATGCTGGAAAAGCATAAAATGATAAACAGTCGTAATCCATTTCTAAGGAGGAACCTCCACGCTTTCCAAGTTAAAAATTCGAAATATTCTCCGTTTTTATTAGAAAAATCGTTCAATGGATATAAGCAAGAGGTTAAGTAAGTATTTTAGTCACTCTGTAGTTATGCATTTGCACTAAGTGAAGGCAGAAACCAAGATACCAAAGACCACAACCATTTGCTAATCTGTGTTTAAGATGAGACGCCCTGTTATCGCATACATTTGACCTACAGGCACCCTGTTATCATATATTTTTACCAAACGAAGCAGCCTGTTATCTAAGATTGAAACCAATTTAAAGTGGAGATGAAACATAGCTAAAAATCGGAACAAAATGGAATGAAACATAAAAACCACTCAAAACTAGGGAACAAAATGGAATGGAACATAAAAAATCAACGAAATGGGGTCCCCCCTAAAAAAGCAACAACATTTCATAAAAAATAGTTAATTTCAATGAAAATTTATAACTTTTTAGTTACTTACCCAATTTTGAAAGCTGTTTTTTGAAACTTAAAACTTATTTTAACTTACCAAGAAATTCAATATAAAAAAATACTTTTTTTTTATAATTTATCGTATATTTTCAGTTTAATTAAATACTTTTTGTTTTTGTTTTATTTTAATTTCCTCTAATGATTTCTTTTTCTCTTAATACAACAACGACACTTTTATTGTTTTTTTGTTTTTATTTTGAATAATTAAAAATACGTTATATTTGTTGAATTTAAAGTGTGCGTGTGTTTGTGTATTCTTGATTATTAAATTAAGTCATATGTTTTGTTTTCATTTCCTTCCTCTATAACTTCCTTTTTTTAAATTTTACTTTTTATTATAAATTAAATTTGCTTTTCTGATTTTCAGTTGTTTTTAAGACTAATTTAAAATTTAATGCTCTCCTATGTTAATTTTTTTTTTAATTTAATTTAATTATTAAATTTTCTTTAGAAAACACGATGTTTAAGATTTTCGTTTATGAAATTTATAGTCTATAATAAGGTCAATATGTTTAAATTGTTTATTTTACATTAAATTTAGTTAAGTAATTTTGTTTGTTGTTGGATTTTTTTAATCATTATGATACTTTTTTTGTTTTTTGGAATATTTAATTAAATTTATTTAGACAAAGATTAGTTTTGTTAATAATATACTTTTTTTTTTAAATCAATTAAAAAGTATCTTATTTTCTTTATAATTAATTTACAAACATTAAGGAGTATTTATTATTGTTTTTTTTTTTATAAAAAAAGTAATTTATTTTTAATATTTATCATTATGCTACAAAATGTGTTACGTACGTATTTTTATGTAATTTCTTTTTCAAGTTTTACAACTTTCAATTTATTTATGATTTTATTTACTTAATTATATGTTTATAATGTATTGTATTATTTACAGCTCATGTTTTTTTGTTAGATAAACTAAATTTTTATAAGACTTTGTTATTTAATACATTTGGGGGATTTTTCGTTTTAATAGACTAAACAATTGGTTATTATTCTTTGATATATTTTTCTTTTCAATTTGTAAAATAGTATTTTTTAATATAATTGTTTATTAATTGTCTTATTCGTTTGAATTATTCAGAATTTGTAAGTAAATTATTTATTTACATGCTAAATAATATGCAAAAAACATGATTTCCCAAACGGTTGCTTGGTTAAAATTTTGTATTTTCCTTCGATCAATCTTGATAAAAGGAATGCTTCTTTCAAAGAATGATGACTTGTCTTGCATTGTTCTATAGACAAACTTGAGAGAGGATTGCAAGAGAATAGTAAGTGGTTCCATCCAAGTTAAAGTATCTCAAATAGAATGTCTCGCGAATAGTCAGTTAAAGCTGCCTTTAAATTATATTCGAGGGAAAACAGTACTTATGCAAAAGCTAGACGAGCCTGGTATATTTCCCATTCAGTGGGTGTATCACAATGTCTAATATCACGGGCTATACAGGAACATTTTTTAACACAATGCAAATGCAACATACAGCAGAGTTTGAAGTTATTATATTCCAGGAAAAGTCTGCTCATTTATGATAGTCTAATAAAATATATCAGTCATAATTTCAATGGAGGCCAATGGGCCTACATATGTTTATAAAATTTACTGTAAAGATACTAGTACATTTCTAACAGCAAAAGGTTCAGGCCTAAATATTAGGATGTGTCCATAAATACATTATATCTGGTGGGTATCATGGGTACCCTGACAACAAGCTGAGCATTCGTTAGGTACGGCCTGGACTAGTAGGCATAAAGCCTATTGCTCTATACCGTTCTCAGCTGTGCTAGGATGTGTTCATAAATACATTATATCTGGTGGGTATCAAGGGTAAACTGACCACAAGCTGATCATTCGTTAGGGACGGCCGGACTAGCAGGCACAAGGCCTGTTGCTCTATCCCAATCTAAGTTGTGCTAGAATTACTCTTGTTTTCCGTTGTAGGTTTTTTTCTCAAGCGCTGGACGAACTGCAAGTACGGCAGTTATAGAGTCTTTATGCGTTTCGATTTAATATCGATTTAATGCTCCTCTATACGATGACCGATACAACAAATCCTGCACATAGCTATTCACCCCTATTCTGCATTTCGATTACGTTTCCGCATTCAGTTACGCTACGATCGAAAATTGGTATTCCAAGAAAAAACCGAATCGTAAGAAAAAGAAGAAGCAATTCCATTATATTTCAATACTTTATTATTGTGTGTATTCTGTATTACGATCATAACTACGATTTTGTTAGTTGCCAAACGGAGAAAACTTTGATTCGAATAGAAATGCAGAATAGGAGTGATTATATTTTCCTCCTATACACGAAGGTACCACCTAACATGCCTATTTAGAAAACATAACATTGTGTTCCTTGACTGGGAGTACCTTCCGTTCTTAGAGTACAGTTACAGTTTTTAGGGAATCATTATAACAGTCACTTAAACATCGTTCAAAGCTGCCGTCGATAGGGTGGTGTAGAGTCGAAATTTCTATCGACTACGAAACCAAAAGCTTGATTAACTTCCTTCTTTCAAATAGTGAAGTGTTTGCTGACAACTTCAATGGTGATAACTGCAAGTTTCGTGCAGTGAAAAACTAACTATTCACTTGTTAGCATAGTTCGTGAACCCGACCCGTATTCGAGGTTCCCGGTTGTATGAGGGCTAGGTGAGATAATGGAATAAAGATTTTTG